CAGTAGGGGCCCCTGGGAACAGTGGTCTCGTACTTGCCCTGGAAGTACCCTCTGGTGTGCATCCTGTAGAAGAGGCGGAAAGCTCCCAGAGAAACTGGAGGGTTGATCTCTTCTCTTCGTGTTATTTGTTTTAATTTATTCTAGATCTTAACTAGGCATCTTAATTACGTTAATTGGATAATGTACAATTTTTCTCAATCTCTCTATAATTCTGTGAAACCCTGAGAATCTTGCAATTGTTTATGACTTACCTCTTGAGGTTATATCTTCATGAATAATCGTGGTGGAGAAAGGGTGGAGGGTTGATGTTTTTTCTTTGTGTTATTTTTCTTAATTTATTCCATATCTAGACCTAAACTCTTAGATTGTTTGGATAATTTGCAATTTTTCCCAATCAAATAAACTGGTTTCTATTTTCATTCCAAAATTGTAGTTATTCAAAAAAAAATCATTTCAAATCTTCGTGACAATCTTTTTACAAAGATCGTATTTTTTACGGTTTGAGGTATTAAGAGTCTATCTTTGCTCCTTTCAACCCTCCCTCTTCTTTCCACAAATCATTATTAATTATAATATATGATTCATTTCTCTATTTTATGACCTATCCTGGGTCCACTCTCCCTTCTTCTTTTTCATATTTATCCATGGGACACTTATATTCTTCAAGTTTTCAATAAACCTAAAAAAATCCTCACATTTTTATAATATAGGGATAGATCTTTTAAAAAAAAACTCCGAGGGATGTAAAGCTTTGCTTGATCTTTTGTAATTTTGGACTAGAACTTTGAAATCATTTTTTTTTATATACCTCATAATAACCTTTGCCATTTTCTTTTTCAAATTTCCACTTTTTCCTCTTTTTCCATTTTCGTTTTTCATTTTTCAGAATTCTTAATTAATTATATTCTTAATTAATTATATCCTAAACTATGTCTTATCAAATGCTAATGCCTTCAACCTAATGAATACATAGAAAAATGCATACGCTGCAAATGGCACTTTGATCATGATCATCAGCTTTTGCCAGACCTTGTGTCAATGAATAGATTCATGCTTTCAGCTGGATCTTGGATCCTAACAAGAAACTTACCACCTATCATAAAGCTATA